GTACATGAAGATGTCCAGCAGGCATGAGGTGGTCAAGGCTGGAGCTCGGAGAAGGCTGGGAAGGAGATTTAAATTAGGCAGTCATCTTAAAGTAGGTGGCAACTGAAGCCGTGGGTATGGATGAGGTGCCAGGGAGAGAGTATAGGGAAGTTAGGAGAAAAGAGGGCCCAAGAATGAACATAGGGGAACAAGGAACTCAGAGAAGGAAGGTGCAGAGAGAATCAGTGGAAACCAGAACAGGACATGGGCGGTTCCCCTGACAGCCTTGGAGCACAGCACACAGACCCCCCTGGAGGGAGCAGTCTTCCATGAGGCTGCATTTTAAGGTTCTCGATGATAGCCGTGGGCCATTCTCTGCTCAGCCACTGGGCTACGTCACTAAGTGGACATCCTCCAGGCCTAGACCCCCAGCTCCACCCCACCCCATTTAACAGCTGGTTTAGGGGAGGACACACGGAAACACCCTCACTCTGCGTCTCAAAGATGGGGATACAAAATACTCCCAGGTGTTGCAAGCCTCTTTACATGGCTTTCCTGCAGGGAGTCCTGAGAAGCCTTCTTTCTTGCAGTAACCTTACCCGTCGACCCCTGCCCTGGGGTCAGGCGAGGACGTGGGAGTCAGCTACGCCCATAGGTATATTTGACAGACACCGCAGGGTGCTTCAGGAACAAAGGAAAGGCTCATCTCAATGGCCCAGTCCCAGCGGGAAAGCAGCACCGCTTACCCAAGATGCTCTGCTGCCCTGGTCGTGCACGTGGAGACTGGAAAGAGGAAACGTCGTGCACCTTGGCCGTGCAGACACACATGCACCGTGCCCGCTCACGTTCACCGGGCAAGTGCCAGGCGCTCCTTAGAGTGCTTGACACAGATTCATGGCCAGATGCAGTGGACAATTTTATTATGCTCTTTATACAGACAAGGAAACCGAGGCAGAGAGGGGTGAGATTCTTTAACCAAGATAATGCAATTAATAAGTGATGGGTTAATAAGTGATGGTTTCACCCCAACGGTCTCATACTCCAACCTGGTCTCTCTTATCATCGCTTTTAACTATGGTAAAACGCACATAACATGAGATTTACCATCTCAACCATCTTTCAGTGCACAGTTCAGTGGAACTAAGTGCCTTCGCGTTGCTGTGCAACCGTCACCACCGTCCATCTCCAGAACTCTTGTTTATCCTGCAAAACTGAAACTCTGTCCCCATCAAACGCTAACCCCCCTGTCCTCTCCCCCAGCCCCTAAGGACCACCGTTCTCCTTTCTTGCCTCTGTGAATTTGACTTTTCTAGGTCCCTTCTATAAGTGGGTACCACGGTACTTTTTAAGAGTGGCTTATTTCACTTAGCATAATGTCCTTAAGTTTCATTCACGTTGCAAAGCATGTGTCTTTCTTTTTTAAATTTTATTTTGAATCAATACTATATTTATAAGCTTCCAAATTCGAAAGGTATCAAAGTACTTACAATGAAAAGTCTCCTCTCTCAGTCTCCCTCCCCCTGCTCTCCCCAACGCTCCTCCTCTCCAGAAATAACCATTACCATCCACTTCAGAAATATTTTCTGCATATACAGCAGATGCATACATGGATTCTCTTTCTGTTTTGCACTCTGCTCTGGGCCTTGTTTTTTCCCTTTGCAGTCTGCCTTGGAGATCATTTCCTTATCGGTGCAGAAGATCTTCCTCTGTTTTTTGCAGCTACACAGTGTTTCATTGCACTGACACACGGTGATTTACTTGACAAATCCCTACTGGTGGCTAGTTTAGATCCTGTGCTTCTAACCGTGTTAAGGCGCCTCTGAGTGGAACAGCGCGGGCAACACTACGGCCTCCAGATATCCCAAGACTCAAAGGCGTCATGCATCGGATCATTGCAGGGATTCTTGTTTAGCAAGCATTACATACCTTGGCTTACAGAGGCTTCAGCCCTGAAGGAGGTTAGTCAAGTAAAAGAGCTGTACAAGTAAATAAAGAATCACAATTTTAAAATACCATACAGAGGGGTGGAGAGAGGCACACAGTGAGAGTTATCACTGGTAGGAACCGCCTGTCGGAGAAGCCTTCACTCTGATTCCACCCCCACCCCCCCATTCCTCCCAAGTGTTCTCTAGTCAGGAAACAGCACCCCATGCACCCAGTTGCCCAAACAGGGTCCTCTTATCAGAAGGGAAATCAGACCCCTCAAGAGCTTCCCACGACTCTGAGCATAAAGACCTTAGCAGGAGGCCTGGCGTGATCCACCCCTGCCAGTCCTGCACACCTTGTATGCATTCCCCACTCCAGGCACACGGCCCCTTTGTGCTCCACAGGCACACCAGGTACTTCCCATCTTAGGGCTTCGGTGCTGTGCGTCCCCTTGGCCCAGAACCTTCTCCACCTGCGGGTCTCAGCATCAGGTCACCTGCTCAGAAAGCCCACCCTAACTCTCCCATCTAAGTGGGTCTCACTCTTTATTTCTATCCTAGCACCTGCTTACTTTCTCCCTAGCATGTATCACAGCCTGTAATTACTTCATTTGTTTAATTGTTTGCTTGTCTGTCTCCCTCACTAGAGCCAAGCTTCACAGTGGCAGGGATTTGGCTCTGGTTCGCTGTATCCCTGTCATGGGTTGATGTTGTCAAGAAAGCAGATGCTGAGATGTGGTGTGGAGTGCAAGGTTGTCACTAGGGAGCTGTACCTGTGAAGGGAAGGGGGTGAGGCAGGACTGGGCAGAGGTACCAGCCGAACTGTGATGCTTGCCCTGCAAAATCTCAGCCAACCAGGCGGGGAGCTCCGGAGTATGCCCACCAGAGTTGTCCACATGGTGCAGAGACGCCCAAACTTCTAAATCCTTTCCTTGTTTGGTCACCAGATGTGAGCAGCCCCAGAAAGAGTGTGATCCGGAGCAAGGCAGTTCTCTGCAGCTGGGGCAGACCCTGGAGTTACCGCAGCTGGAGGCTCTCTGCTGAGCACACTCCTCGCAGCTTGAAGGGGCTCCAGGCAGTGCCTCTCCGTGTCTACCCCAATTCCCAGCTCCTAGCACAGTGCCTGCCACACAGCAGGTGCTCAGCACTTATTGAATGAATGAACGAATGGATCGACATTTGATTGAGTCTTAAAGTACGAATAGGATTTGGAGAAGTGGACAAGGCAGGAAACATGTATTCCAGGCATGAGGCTTAGCTTGTGCAAAGGTAGAAAGGCATGAAAAAACATGGAACAATCCCAAATCCACAAATAGTAACACAGGGTTAAATTACCATTCAGGGAGTGAAGGAATGACGTTCAAATGGTAGGCGAAAGCCACTGGGCAAGGGCCTTGTAAATTGCACTTGAATTTTATCCTGCTGGCAAAATTAAAAGCTTTAAAAGAGCTTCAAGGGGGAGAATGACACGATCAGTGGATTTCAGTAAGATCATTCTGGTGGCCTTTCAGAGAATAGCCGAGGAGACCAAGCCGGGAAGCAGGGAGGCTGAGAAGCGTTGACTGTGACCAGGCCAGGCCAGGCCAGCCAGGTGTTACTGAACTTGATGCAGCAGCTGGAGTCAAGAAGGGGGCTAAGGCCAAAGCCTGGGAACCATCAACACTTGAGAACAGTCAACAAAGAATAAACATCTCAAGAGAACAGAGGGAATGCTCAGGGAAGGAAAACAGGAAAGATCTGAGCCGTGGGAGCCCAGGAGACAGAATGGTTCAAGAAGGAAGTGGGTACAAGGGTCAAGGCCATTAAGAGGTCAAGCGAGATAAGGACTGAAGGTGCCCATCAATCTGGCCGTGAGAAGGACAGGACGCAAGAGCAATTCTGGCTTGGAACAGACCCAGCCTGGGGCAGGGCATTATCCAGCCTGACTCGGGGCTTGGGTTTCTGGTGGGTGTTCTAGAAAAATCCTTTAGCTGTCAACATGCTTTAGTCCAGGGTCTCCCCCCACCAAGCCTAACCACAGAGATGCTCTGAACCACGTGACCTTCGTGGCTCCTCTTCATGGCTCCAAGGAAGGTCCGGCCACCTTCCTTGGAGGGAGCAGTGGAAAGAGCCCAGCGGGGCACCAGGATCCTGAGTCCTAGTCCTGTTCCTGCCACTTGTGAGGGGCCTTGGGCCTCTGTTTCTCTTGGGGTGCTGGGTCCAGGAAGGCTCCACAATTGCTTCTGTGGACCTGGACTGGCCCCAGTGCTCAGGTGCAAAGAAAGTGACACAGGTGGCCAGGTTCCCACATCCTCTGACTTGGGTTCCCCTGGCTGCCTCCACGTAGAACTCTGGGCTCTCCCACCTCCACCCCTGGGTGACCCATTGTGTGAACTCAGTTTCAATGGGGACAGAAACTGGGCTGAGAAAAGAGAATATGTACTTATGCCACCGAGCCAATGCCCAAGTAAATAGTGCAATTTCATAAGTGCAGCCTGTGCCTTGCCCTTCTCCCTCCAGGCACTGCCTGGAGCATATAAAAGACAAGCCCTGGGCAGGTGTCACACAAGATCACCGGATCTAGAGACGGGCCAGGGCCTTCCCTGCCTCCCGCCATGAAGCTCACAGTCACCCTCACTCTGGTCATGCTAGCTCTCTGCTGCAGCCCTGGTGAGTACCCAGGGTCCGTTCCCCCCATGCCTGGCCTCAGGAATGCTGAGCTCCACCCAGTTCTGCTCAAGAGAAGGGGTGAGCTGCCCATGCCCTATGTGGAGCTGCTGGGAGGGCCTGAAAATGCTGAGTCTCAGAAAACAGGGTCTGGTGAACAAGCCTGGCTGTTGGGAACTTGGGGAGAGCCCCAAGGCTGTGAGGAAACCTGGAAAGGATCCCATCTTCCATATGCAACAACGTCAGAATTCCAGGGCATGGAATAGACTAAGGGAGGGATGGAAGAGATTCCATATAGAAGGGTGTGTCCAATGACAATGGAATAGGAATAACAAGCCCCTCACAGCCCAGACTTGGACAGACCCCAAGATTCCAAAAGACCTTGGTGCACTGCCCTCTGGGTTTGGGGTCTTCACCCCACTCTGGTAGTGAAAGGAGCTGGAAGGGGAGCTGCAGAGTCTCATGTCCTCCAAAGAAACCCAACCCAAGGCAAGGTCTCCCATTCTGGGCAGAAAGGAATATTCCAAAAAGGGTCCTTCCCTTTGGGAAATTGCCAACCCAGAGTGGAGTTTTCTAAACAGTTTTGTTCTCTGCAAGAAGGAGTAGGATTCTCTGAGTAGTTGCTACTGTCACTAAGAGGAAAGAGGGGGGGGCCAGCCCGGTGGCGCACTGGATAGTGCGCCTCTTGGGAAGCGCGGCAGCGCTCCCGCCCGGGGGTTCGGATCCCACATACAGACCGGTTCCCGCTCACTGGCTGAGCGAGGCGCGGGAGCAGCAC